TACCGCATGTCATTACTATATATGTATATATAATAATTCAGGGCTGTTACCACATGCCATTTCTATATATGTGTATCTAATAATACAGATCTTGTGCGGGTGTGCAGGGGGATGCACGGCCTCCTAATAGCCCACGGGGAGAACCGCAAGACACTCTTGGTAGGCCAACGGGCACGGCTGGATCACCACACACCCGAGCATAGTGCCGATATGGTATGGCAACTTAACTAGTGCAGTTTGTTTATTCCAGTGTCTATTATTTATTTTTATTGCTTGCGGGTGGTGGAGGTCATGGGAATAGTGTAAAAAACAGAATACTAGTTACTCAAAATAATCAAGATACTCTAATTGCCAAAAAAAAAAAAACAATAACTGAAGGTAATCGAGATGCTAGGTAGTGAGGTAGCAACTTTAACTAGTGCATTTTTTGTGTTATTCCAGTGTATTTAAAAAAAAAAAAAGATTATTAGCGGTGTTGTGCTGTGATTTATCTATTATTAAGTTTTTCTAGCTAGTTATATATTTAGGTTGTGTTTAAACAGGTATCTACAGTTTCTGTTCATGGCATTATTATATATGTATGTCTGACTCAGGACCTACAGGGGGATGCACCGCCTAATAATAGTCCACGAGGAGAACCGCAGGTCGCTCGGGTTGGCCACACGCCACGGCCAGTTCACCACGGGGCCGGGCCTAGTGCTATTACGGTAAAGTAGTGTATTTGTGCATTGTAATACTGTTTCGTACTGCCTAAATTATAGGTTTATTTAATTTGATTGTGGTGTGTATATCTAGTTAGATATGTAGGTGGTGGCTAAGTAGTTTATATACAGTTTCTGCGCATGGAACTATTATATATGTATGTCTAATTCAGGACATGCAGGAGGATGCACCGCCTAATAATAGTGCACGGAGAGAACCGCAGGACACTCGGATTGGCCAAGGGCCACGACCGGTTACGGTATGGCAGCTCATAGAAAATGTGTGCACAAACCACGCAGAATAGCCTGTTTGTGCATTGTAATACTGGTTCATACTGTAATAGCCCTAATTTCTTATTAAGTATGCACATCTGTTATGTGCCCGGTCAGATTTGAGTGCCCGGGCAGATTATTTTACCGTATCCCTGTGCTTATTATACAGGAGGTTGTTTAAATTTTAGTTTTATTTAATTTTATGTGTACAGGAGTTGTGTGGTTCATTTTTTTTTCCTTTGAATCATTTATAGGGGGATGCACGGCAAGTACCATAAGCTACTCGGGTTGAACAACGCCCACGCGTTCCTAGACCCATTACAGTATGCCAAAATAAACTGGTGCACTAGGTTATACAATGTGCACGAGTGTCCGTAACAAAATTGATTTAACTGCAGGTTGATGCACTGGTACATGCGGCGGCGGCACGTGCTAGGAACCCTACTGCACGAGTAGGAGACGGGGCTACACAAACAGTGCACAACGCCACCACTACAAGTTCTACCGGGGTATGCATATTGTTTCCTTACTATTGCACCGGTTGACGTTGCTATATTGTTTCTTTTCTAACCAATCGCTTGCCTGTAGGGGTTCCACCAAGAATTCGCAGCCATGACTAGGGACCTGCTAGCGATAGCCACACGGGTTGCAGAAACAATAAGGAAAAATCAAACACTAGCTTTCGAGGACCGAAATTTCCCGAGGATTGCCAACGTGGGTAATCTGTTATTAAGCTGGGCACGTAAAGGGACACCACAAACCGGCCCACAGCCACCTCAACCACGAACCGGCCCACAGCCACCCCAACCACAAACCGGCCCACAGCCACCTCAACCACAAACTGTGACGACTGGCCATCTAGACGACAACCTTTGGCAAGACTCGCAATTCATAAGGGAGCTAGACCGGGTGGAGGAGGAAGCAAGACGAGCGATAATACCAAGGCAGGCACAACAGGTTGCAACGCAGGACACAGGGGACTTTGAGGCACCAACATTTAGTCTAGGGTTGACTCAGGAGTTCGTAACCACGTGGGCAGACGGCAACACGCTAGGGCCGTCAACTGTACACACGCCAACTCAGCAGGTGAGGGGTATTAATAGGTACAGCCATGTGAATTACGCGCGATTTGCATGGTATTTTCTAACTTCTAGGTGCAGGTATCCATGCAAGCGCAACCGGGAGGGGGGTCAACAGCACAGCCCGTATCCCCAGGGGTGAGAGCAGGCCCGGATCGTCAGCCAAGGACCACCGTTGGGGCGGCAGACCAGCATTTTGGCATGTTTTTCAGCACCAGCAATGGGTACCCTAACATACCGTTACCACCAGTGTATGTCGTTTGGATGTGGCTGTTCAACTCCCCACACGGTCATCGGTAAGTTGCATGGATGTCACGTGCGAATATATACAAGCCTGCGTTGGCTCCGTCATTTTGTCTTTAAAAAAAAGTAAAAATACAGGAATGAAGTTCTATTCCGCCATGCCACGCGCACAGTCAGATGGTATCAATTTTTAACATTAAAGGCAAGGACGGATGTTGGGAAACCAGTGGTAGATGCATGGTGCTCGGTGCTCAATGCAAGGGAGCAACCGGGGGGTCGGGACATGCCTTCTCGATTGTTTGTGTCAGCGTCGGCGACGGTAGTGTGGATCATGCAATTTAATTTACATTCTTCGCAAAACAGTCAACACATAATGTTACACTATATACAATTAACAAGAGTATATATTCTTCGTAGTGCACCCATTCAGCACCGCACTGTGCACAAACAAACACAATTAGCATCTTGGGGTTTATATATATCTACTAACTAGTATTGGTGCAGATTGGGACGGTGGTGAACGTTGCAGCCAGGCGGGATCAAAGGGTAATGTGGTTTCAACGGCGTCTTGATGCTGAATTCCAAACAACTCACCATGTGGGGACAACCACATTGGACATGGTAAGACGCCAGTCGTGTTCCGAATAGGCGATCCAATCGGCTACGCATAGCGGACATCGTAGGCTAACCACTATTATTTGGGTTTTGCAGTATTTCTTCCCCGTATTCCATGAGGCACGATTCTACGTGATGTGCGTAAGTTTTAAGCATAATGGGTTTCTCATCATAGACAGCTCACCGACGACTAGCGTGGGGACAGAGATGTACGGCGCAGCTCCAAATGAGTTGGTAAACATCATGCACCCTCAACACTTAATACTATTGGTTAAGTATACTCGCACACCTGCTGAACTAATCTTTTGTTTCCAGAGGGACCTACTCGCCGCATACCTAGATAACAACCAGCACACTGTGCGGGCGCTGCGGTTGAGGAACATGCAGCCCGAGAGGATGAGGTTGGCGTGGTCAGACAACCCTACCAACGGTGACTCGGGAGTATACACAATGAGACATATGGAAGATTTTGTTGGTCAAGATCCCAGATATTGGCATTGTGGGTTGGGGACGGGGGATGCCGCAGTGATTGAAAATATGCGGACGAGGTTTCTGCATAACATCTTACTATGTACAGTCAATGCCAACATCGATGATATCCGCACACGGGCAGTGGAGTATGACCGCCATAGGGCCGAACAACTAATGGGAGGAGCACCACAATGAAAAACTCGGGTATGAGGTAGTGGCTGCTTAGATCTATTTAGGTTAGTGCACAGCCTGAGCAAAGTATTGGCTGTTTAATTTTGTTTAGTTTGGTGCGCAGCACTAGTCTTCATATGGGGTATATATACTTTTCCAGGCTGGAATAAAAATTTCTTCAATGTTATCTCTAGAAAATGCCGGCACAAATGCATGAAAGGGTTCGTAATTGTATTTAATTTTACACTACTAATTTGGTAAAGTACAACTTCAGTGAAATAAATACACCACTAATTTCATGCGACACATGAAATAAATTCACCACTTAATTTAACTTACTATCACCATAGACCATGAAAAGCACCAGGGGTATGAGGTTGAAATAAATGCATTATGAGAGGGAAAGGTAGGTAGCTTAGATAGTTAATTTAACACGAAATAAAAGAAACAAAAGACAGAACCATTCTAATTTGCTAATGATGATGGTATTTAAATTACATGCATGCAATACAATGCACTTTTACTCCAATCCCATTATCCCATCTCCACCCCAATACCCCTTTCGGCATTTATATAATGCATGCATTGCATGCTTCAAATAATACACATTAAATTTACCACTGCAACAATATATGCATGCATAAATGCTTTAATCTTTTGTTTTTGTTTGGGTAGGGGTATATGCTTGAATTTGCTTTAAAATATTTACTCTATAACAAAGGTACACAAGCATTTGGAAACTTTTTATCGGTATTACAAGCTTACACCACAAGAGAATCCCTAGGACAACATATATTTTCCCCACATTTGAACACCTTGAATCCCTAGGACAAATTAACAGCAAACAGAATGATAACATGAGTATTTAGATCCAAGAACCCCACTTACCAGTCATAATGCGGGCAGCCAAACACCCACACCCACAAAAAAAAAAAAATTAATAGTTTTTAGAAGGTTAACCAATCACCATTCAGGTACCACAGAAAGCAGACCCCACACACACTCCAAACACTCCAAAGTCATTATTAATAACCAGATACACATGCATCTGCACTCCAAAGTCATTATTAATAATCGGATACAAAGGATATAAACGTAGAGTTAATAAAATTAGCTAAAATCGCCAGAGGAATGAATTAATAAAATGGACCAGGACTATGTGGTCCAATGGTACCCGGGTTGGACTTCCATTTGGAAGATTGTGAGTTCGAGCCTCAGTGGAGGCGTTATTAGCTCTTTGTGTTTCAGTAGGTTGAGAAAGTATATGAACAGATACTACAATGTAATAGAGCTAGTAGCATTCAAAAAAAGAATTAATAAAATGGACAAACACTCCAAAGTCATTATTAATAACCAAATACAAAGGATAGAAACCTAGAATTAATAAAATTAGCCAAAATCCCAATGTATCTAATCATAACCAGTAATGTCTGTTTGGGCGCACTAATCACTTCAACGGACAGCTGCGGGCATTATGATGTGCATACTCGCCGCACACCCCGCACTTTCTGCTAGCCTTGCCACTCCTCTCAATAGCTAACTCGCGTTGGCTTTTAATTCGCTTGCCGGTCCCTTTGTTTTTTGCTTGAGCTGGCGGTTTGATAATTATGGACGTCGGCGGCTCCACACCGCACAAAGCTGCAATGGCAACACCGTTTCCTTTTGGGGGGTCAACGTCCATACCATCGCCCAGAAACTCGTCTCTTAATTCTTTTATTACCTGTAGCATTCGCGTTTGGCGCACTTTATTGCTTCCAACTATCACGGCACAATTGTGTATCTCAGTCCACAACTGACTAGGCACAGTTTCTAAAGGAGGGCAGTCAGAACATCGAGCACACCAGCTAGCTAGTCCTTCTTGCTTACACCATCGTGCTGCGATGTACCGCGATGGCAAGCTCACCATTTCGGCATCTTTGAACACAAGAAACATATGCCGGCAAACAAACCCCAATCTTTCAAACAACTTGCAGCTACATGTCGCAATAGTCAAAGACGGGGTATATTCAACAGTATGGACAACGTTGTACTCCCCTCTAATGTCGTAACGGATGCACTCACCATATGCATGGATCCCCACAACACTGCAATAAAAACATGCAGCTTCGATCTCTACCTGGAGCTCATAAAACACTGTTAAGGTAAATACCTGCGCCATGTGTCGCTCCAATGCTAAAGGAGTTTTGAAATCAGGCAAGGACCCTTCACTCTCAGCATTTAATTTACTTTGTCTGTGCCGTTGAGTTTCTAGGACGCTCTCAAATTGCACGTAGAACTCGACCAGACTACAATGTGGGCGTGTGTTTTTACCGTACGCACTGTTCTCCGCTTCTGAACGCGAGGTGGTACGTAGAACACCGCTCATGGGTAAATCTAAAAAATATGAAGGAATCCAAAACCTCCGGTCTGTGTATAATTTAGTAAACCATCGGTGCCCCGTTAAGTTGTACTTCTCCATTAATGACTGCCATTGCGTTTCAAAATCATCAATGCTAATGGTCTCATTCCACACAATGTTGTTAAGCTGGTTACGGAAATTCTGATCTTTTGATAGTTCAGCCCCTGACTTCTCACTCACTTTGGTCATGATATGCCACATGCAGTAACGATGACGGCACTCTGGCAGTACTCGTGCAATAGCACTCTTCATAGCCGGATCTTCATCAGTTACGACGCACAAGGGGCTCTTTCCCATTGCTGTTTTAAATCTCTCCAGGACCCACACGTATGAGTCAGTGTCTTCTCGAGTTACCAACCCACCAGCAAACGTAATGCACCGTTTGTGATGGTCTACTCCGGTAAAAGGTATGAACACCAAACTGTACCTGCAATACAACGAGTTCACACGTTAGCATGGTGGCAACAAATTTAGTGATTCGGACGCCGCCCAATTCCCACTAACATGTCACCAACGTGCACTTAACATGAACAATACAAAAATTCACAAAAACAATATTAAGTGACTACTACATTTCAGTATGATTAGCATGCACAGAATGAACGGTGTAACGTTGACATACCTATTCGTACCATACGTTGCATCAAAAGAAATCACATCACCGAAACTCAAAAAATTTTGACGCCCGGTGTGGTCAGCCCAAAAAAGACGCGCAACATGGTTTCCTTCATCAAGATAGTAATCAAAGAAAAAGTTCTCACAGACGTCATGTTTTTGGTTAAACATTGCAATGATCATCTCTCCGTCCTTATCGGCAACGTATGACTGGAGGTCCCGTTTGAAATTATGGAACTCCGTTTCTGTTGCACCAACGTTGGCGAACGACCCCACTGATTCCTTGTATAATCGGAAGCCTTTAGACCCACCCACGTTAACTTTAATACAATTCGTAAGGAACGCTTGCTGGGCCACGTCCAGTTTTCTGTTGATTCGCATAAACAGTTTCGAAGGCTCGGAGCACATGCGGTGGGTGTGTTCGGGAACAAAAATACTGACAATGAAGCCCGCACCTTTGTCTTTTGTGATGCAAATTCGAGCGTTGCAATTAACCCTGTTAGATACTCGTCTCCTACGTTGAGTGCTCGGACCACCACTGCCACCCTCTACTGGTTTTGGGGTGCTTCTACCGCCACCTTTTACGCCTTCTCGGTTGCATAACAAATAACATGTTGTAACCTTGCCATCACGGCCTCGCTTTAGTGTGCCTTGCCTCACAGAGAAGCCACATGTTCTCGCATAGGTCATATAGAAATGCACCCCTTCTGCTATTGTGTTGAAACGGTAACCGACAGCTGGGGTAATTGCACTATCCACGGTAGGCCACCAATATTTGACTGGTATACTGATGTACCCACCCGTGCCCACACTCTCTTGCCTCCAGTCAGCTGCGGGGGGGAAAAAAAAAGAATTATCAACACCCGAATATGCATACCAAAAATGTTAGTTTGAGCTATTATATTATAATAACTGTACCCAACCAGCAACAGAGTCAACATGTATCCCCAAAAAATAGACAAATTGTAGCAATATGCAGCCTGCCAAAAGGTTCAGAACATCCATTGCATGCTACCCGCCACAGTTTTCATTAAATGCATACTTCCCCATGACTTAATTAAGTAAAATCACAAATTTAAAGGATAATAGTTATAGTAAATTCATACACGATCTGTACAAGAACCAATTGCTTCTTAACCGTAAAATACTTGCGCAAATAGCTATATCAAATAAGAAATGTCTTGATATGATTTCAAACGAGATCGTATAAATAAAAAAAGTAGATTGTAAAGAATCCAACGGAATATTTTCAATGGAGTTCCCGGAGAATGAACTCCGGGAAGGTAGAGTAGAAATTACGATGATCAAATATGATAAAATAGTAAAACACGTTCAATCCAAAAAGATTTCTGATTCATTTTTTCCTTATGACACGATAATCAAATATAGATTCACGGATTTTTCGAGCAAAACACCAATCCGCATTTGAGTTCGGATTGGAATTATGATTCAAGTGAAGTAAGCCTATTTCTTTTTTTTGAAAACCCAAGCATACAACAGGATGCCACTATTGCTTCATAGAAAATGATGCCACTAATCTAAATTAAATCAAATAATTGATATGGATTACTATATATTCCAGTGGTGAGAAAATACCATATCATGCTAATAATGTCCTTAATGTAAGTTATGGATTACTAGCTTCAGTAAGTTAAAAAATCTTAGCCACCAAACAAGTAAAAGTAGACAATTTACTCTATAATCTCAAAACAACAGATTAGATAAACTTTATCAAACACTACCAACATGTATAACAACAATTACCGATCCTGAACAGAAAAATATGTCAATGTGATGTATACATGATGTTCCAAGTATTTAAATAGTTAGTTCATATACTATCATTCTAAGTGTTTCAGCAATCCATTGGCAATATTGCTGGCATAGCTACATGAGGCCCGATAGACATTCTGTAAAACTGATATGAACATTCAGTAGAAAGACAGCTGAACATTCCAATACTGAGCGTTTAACTTAAATGTGATGAAATTTTAAGTTCATAGATAATCAATATCCGATCCAACACACTGGGCTAGGGGAGCTTGGCTCATAGTACAATTCGCATAAACAAGCATTCCAAAAAAAAAAAAATGGAAAATTCAGAATTTCTTTCCACAACAAAGCTTTAAAAATTAAATTTCAATTCGTTCTCAACAGTAGAGGTAGAAGAAGTTTTTCCGAACTATTTGAACTATTATTGGTGCACCGGAAAAGGTTATTGGTTGGCATGGTACTCTGTGAACATGGGGGACGTACCTGGTGGATTACCCGGAGGGAGTTGCAGCGGCGGCATGCCGTAGTCGCCGGTAGTCTCTGGTGCGGTGCTTTCCATGGTTCCACGCGCAAATCTAACCACTGCAAAAGTGAAAAGTCTCTAAACATAGCATTTGACAAAATGTAAGCTTAATTAACTTCATTAAATTCTGACTGGCTTTTGGATGTCAAGATCAGAAGAAGAGTTCTGGCTCGTCGGTGGTTTGCAAGCGCATAGGGTATTGGTGCACCGGAAAAGGTTGTTGCTTGTCATCATGCTGCTCTGTGAACATGGGGGACGTACCTGGTGGATTGCCCGGAGGGGGTTGCAGCGGCGGCATGCCGTAGTCGCCGGTAGTCTGTGGTGCGGTGCTTTCCATGGTTCCACGCGCAAATCTCTCCAGGGTATGTGCTACGGAAAAACAAAAAAAAAAAAAACACAAATGATGAACGACCGCATAGTTTGCAGGAAACACGCACAGTTTATTAAAATTAGTTTATCGCAAACTCTGAAATGCACCCCTACATGGCAGTGCACGGGAACTACAATGCACCAAATCTCCAACCGTCAGATCGCACAAATCAGTGCACCACAACAGTCCACTAGTTCACATTAAAACAAGGGTGTGCACCAGAAAAGAACCCTATATATATATATATATATATATATATATATATATATATATATATATATATATATATATATATATATATATATATATATATATATGTATATATAATATATAATTTGTGTCTGCCTATTAAAGTCTGAGCAATAGTGAGGTTCGCCTACGTGATTGCTAGTGCATGCTATCCGTAGAAGGTCTGTGTAGCCTGTCGAAAGCGTGCCAGGGTCCTAACTGCACCGTTACCGGGCAAATAACGCTTGTACGGTAGTGTTATTATAACACGGCACAGATTTCCTTTCAACCATACACCAATAGTGTCCGTGCTTCTTAAAAGGCTTCCAGATCGCGCGTTGACGTTGCAATTTTCCCCAACAGTTAAAAGCGTTATTCTGCAACAGTCAGCCTTTAACATTATGGCACCTTCTGTCATACCGGATCTATCAAAAATTACCGCGCTTGATGGGAAAAATTACAGTAGGTGAGCTAAAAGAATGCTTATTCTTTTCGAACAATTAAAGTTTGTTTACGTGTTATATTCAGTTGCACCTGAACCTACTCCAACAGTGTTCTCTCCCTTTGGTGCTACAAAAGCTAACCATGATTCTGATTACACTCCGGGTGAAGAATCGAGAGAAAGCTCTCCTGAAATAGATTATATTCCGGGTCAAGAACCGGGTGTAACTCTGATTCAATTTAGAAATGACAATGCGGCAGCCAGAGGATACCTGCTGTCACAAATGAATGACGATTTGTTCGACATCTATGTCAAACAAGATTCGGCAAAAGTCATTTGGGAATCACTGTCAGAAAAGTACGGTGTCAATGGAACTGAAAATCAAAGTGTCAGAACCGTCTACAACGAAAGTAGTAGAAAAATCAAGAAGTTTAGAGGAAGGTGTTTTGCGTGCAGAAAGCAAGGACACCGAGCTCACCAGTGCTGCCATCACAAGGGCAAAACTATTAAAAGTCAATCTGACAGAGCAAGATGAGTATTGAGTCTCTTTAAATAAATAGTTATTTTGAGTAACTATGTTTGCTCTAGTTCTAAGGGTTCGCATGAAATATGGTTATCTTAGTACTGAATTCTAGTTGAGCTGTCTAGATTTTGATTACTTAGTAGTACTTATTTCTTTAGTATTTTGAATACTAATGACATTGATTGAAATAATTCGTGCATAGATATTACTCAAACTTTTTACTAAAATTATTTGTATAAAATTAAGAGCATATATCATAGGCTTCAATTGTAATTTAGTGAGAACATGGAAAAGTCATCATTCTTGAACACTCTGTCTAGGAAGATGGTTTTTAAGTAAACTTCGGTTTCACCACTCGACCTGGGAGTTTTAAGATGTAGGGTGTTGATCATGCAGGCTAGTTAGAGCGCCACTTGATCTTTACCTGAAATGAGGATGACTTTCATATGTTGCTAATACAATCAAAGCCTTGCAATAGAAGTTGTTGAAGTACTGCAATAGTAATATTGATCTGCATCCTATAAATGCTTTATATGAGGTTTAAATTCCTTAAGGGAAGGAAAAAATTGTGCTAGTGGCAACTGTGAAGTCTCATTGTTGAGAGATATTCTGAATAAATATGAACTCAAACATATTCCTTTTGTATGAGATTAATTTCTTATAAAGAATATGATGTGAAATTTGTGATTATGTTGTTCAACTTGATGTAGCATGTGGACAACATTATTTCTATGGCTTACTAACAATGAACATTTGTATATATATTATTTAAACTCTTGGTTGAGTCATATTGAAATACCTATAATTCCTAGTTAAAGGGTAATTGTGATCAATTGAGGTAACCAAGCTTGTTGAAATATATTCAACTGTTGAGCATGTATCAGGCAAAGTGCGAAGCTTCTATAATGCTCCACAAAGCAAATCGGCAAAACTCAGTCTACAAAGGAGCTAACGTTGGGCACCAAAGATCAGTCTGGGTAAGAGATCAAATACGCTTGACAAAAATATTTGTAAGTATTGCATTGTGGGGGTAATAAACTCCTTATATTTTCATCAAAAGTTTCTCTGTGGTATTGAGAATAATGGTGAAAGAGAATGTTTCATGTTAAACATGAAAATCTCAAGGGATTGTTTACGAGTAAACGAAGTACTCGTCAAAGTGCATGTAAGTTTGGTCAAGAGAATCAACTTACTTGAGGGCTAATTATGAGGATTAGTCGTTGACTCATTGGAAGGACTTAAAGTCCAAGTGGTAATGAATTCGTGGTGGATCCCACTTCTGTGGTCAAACGAAGCCATGAAAAGAGTTACAAAATAGTACACTAGTTGGTCATTCCGACAATGTGTGTACTTGTGAGGTTGAGCTACAGCTCTTAATGAATTCATAAATCTTTGAGAAAGGGTGGTTTTGTTGAGACAAACCTAATGAATTCACCGCATGTGAGGTTGAGCTACAGCTCTTAATGAATTCATAACTATTTGAGAAAGGGTGGTTTTGTTGAGACAAACCTAATGAATTCACCGCATAATGACATGAGTACAAAGTGCTCGTGGTGCCCATAGATACTCTGTAGCCAGTCATGGTGGTCTGTGTTGAGGTAGACTTGACAGAGTCGAAGGTCTATCCTAGAATAGACCTAACAGGGGATATCTCAGGGTCAAGAGTATGACCTCACATATTTTAAAGCGACCAAAGCAAATTAAGTGCGTTAAGTTCAAACTTTGTCTATTCGATGAGTTCAAGATCAAATTCACTCCCGTTTAGAGAAGTACTTAATGTCACTATATGACAGTTCAAGTTTTATACATTGGCATGAAAATTTGTTTTGATCGTTGTCAGGCAATGACAGCATCAGCCTAAGTCCCTTTAATGGTGGGGGATTGTTGGGAGCATTTAAAAGGAAAGGCTTCCTTTTGCCTATCCATGTTGTCCCACATTGGAAGTTTAGCCTCTTATACTCAATTGGGATGGTCTATGTTGAGATAGACCTAAAGAGATCCTTAACTTGAGTGGAAAAAGGCTACCATGGTCTATGTTGAGATAGACCTAAAGAGATCCCTAACTTGAGTAGAAAAGGGCTAACCGCCTCTTATGAAAGATAATGGGGTTATCCCAAGAAGCCGAGTGGCTAAGAAACATGGTGATAACCGTGTAATTGTGGAGGTGTCCATCACCTTCACCACATTGTGATTCACAAACTGTCGTTTGCATTGCAAATAACAGCCTATGATAGAAAGAAAAGACTTACAACTGATTTATGTCCTTGACTACTCTATAAGCCTTTAATGGTAGTCTATACTAAGATAGACTTGATAGAGTTAACAGTCTATATTGAGATAGACTTGATAAGACATAAAAATTTGTAATGCGATAAGACTTGTCAGAGTTAAAAGTCTATTTTGTGATAGACTTTGACAGGGTAGAAGTCCATTTTTGAGACAGACGTAACATTCTTTAATACTAAGGGTGTTCATAAGAAGTCAAAGAGTTTGACTTTTGTAGAACCTGCTTTTTGAGTTGGTGTGTGCATTCGAGTTCAAAATTTATCTAACCGGTCAGTTCAAGATTCACATCACTCCCGGGAAGAAAATTACTCAGTGTCACTACGTGTCAATTCAAGTTCTCAAACACTGACATTAAGATCAACTCATTTGTATTGCTCAGACATTACCTTCTTCTAGCCCCTACTTTGAATGTGTGGGGGATTGTTGGAAACATTCCATTCAAAGCAAGCAGCGCATAATGTGGATACATGGTCACTAATGACTTGTCACGTACAAAGGAGTGGCTGCATGGGTTGCTCATTTCCACTCCCTAATTTCTAGCTAATATGTGGATGAAATGAGCTGAAATCTCTCCTTTGTACAGTATATAAAGGAGTTTGTCTTTTTGTCTAAAACACACAAAAAGAGATATCTTCTTCTTCATTCCTTCTCATACTCATTATAATATATATATATATATATATATATATATATATATATATATATATATATATATATATATATATATATATATATATATATATATATATAATATGTATATATAATATATAATGTGTGTCTGCCTATTAAAGTCTGAGCAATAGTGAGGTTCGCCTACGTTATTGCTAGTGCATGCTATCCGTAGAAGGTCTGTGTAGCCTGTCGAAAGCGTGCCAGGGTCCTAACTGCACCGTTACCGGCAAATAACGCTTTTAAGGTAGTGTTATTATAACACGGCACATATTTCCTTTCAACCATACACCAATAGTGTCCGTGCTTCTTAAAAGGCTTCCAGATCGCGCGTTGACGTTGCAATTTTCCCCAACAAAACCAGTCACAAGTATATATTGAAGTTCTATTCTAACACAGTTGTGAGAGAATTCAAGGATGCAACTTTCTCTAGGTATATTTATGACAAAGAAGATGATGATTTCTTTGATGAGGTGCAGTATTGTTTGCATTTGTGATTACTTATTTGTCACTAATGTTTTTTTCCTTTTTGTGTAACTTTATTTAGTTATTTAACTTTTCCTGCCTTTTAGGACTTTCTAGATGGAGAGGTGACCGAAAGTCGTATTGGAACTCTGGAGTGTAACAAGCAATGTGATGCAAAGGATGGTGCATCTGTTAAGGCTGAGGAGGTTGAGAAGCTAGATTGAAATTATTAATAAAATGTTTTCTTGTTGAGAGCCTAGCCATTTATGCCTTTGGGCATTAAACATTGTTTCTATGATTGATGACGGGCATTTTACTGACATTTGTCTCTGATCATTTCAATGTTTTTGTTATATTTTATATTAAAACTTTTAAAATTTGTGTTTTTTTTAAAAAAATTGTAAGATTGCATGGTTTTACATCACTTTGAATATGCATTTGTTTTATTGGTTTATTCACACCATGTTTAGAGGTGAAATTATAGCTTAAAAATGAATATTACAAGAAAGCATTATTAACTAAGAATAAAAACTGCACAGAATTTAGGCCAATTGAAAAAGAAAATGAATATTAATAATTGACTAAAAATGAAAAATGATCCAAACTGACTCAAATGCAAAAAAAAAAAAAAAAAATGGTCAGACAACCCAAACAATGTATAGGTAAATTGGTAAAGTATTTTGTTATATATATATATATATATATATATATATATATATATATATATATATATATATAAATAGTATAGGTATTAGAGTCACTATCAATAATAATCACAATATATATATATATATATATATATATATATATATATATATATATATATATATATATAATGATATGGCGTGTTTAGTTTAAATGTCGACTAACGTGTTAAATTTTCTCTACAACATCATATCGGCCCCTTACTTGATTTTTCTGATTCAGTCCTGGTGTACAAGTTATCAATACACATTATTACACCCACACAATTTTTATTCCCATTATAACTTTACCAATATTAACTTGAATCATATTTAGTTGATTTTTAAAAAAAAAATTATATTTAGTAGATTTGTATACACTATACACATAATAGTATCTTAGTATCTTCTGTAATCTGACGTCATTTGCAATTTTCTCAAGCACACTTTAAATAATAATCACAATAACGTATGATATATATAATGATATGGCACGTTTAGTTTAAATGTCGACTAACATGTTAATTTTTCTCTACAACATCATATCGGCCCCTAACTTGATTTTTCTGATCCAGTCCTGGTGTACAAGTTATCAATACTCATTATTACACCCACACAATTTTTATTCGCATTATAACTTTACCAATATTAACTTGAATTATATTTAGTTGATTTTTTTTGAAAATTATATTTAGTAGATTTGTATACACTATACACATAATATTATCCTGTATCATGTGTAATCCGACGTCATTTGCAACTTTCTCAAGAACACTTTAAATGTCAGAGATGTGATGTATGAACATTGATGATTTTTGTTTGTACGTATTTAATTTTGTGCCCATATATGCCTTTTACCCATCCGGCCATCAATACAACAGAGAGTCACTTTCTTTAACCACTGTTAATATCCCCTTTCTCCTTCTCTTTTCTTTGACTGTAAACAGAGAGACAAATACAGAGTTGCTTGAAACACACTTACCTTTCATTTATCTTCTTTACTTTGCACCAAACAAAAAATCCTTCATTTTTAACCAGACCAAAATCCTAAAGAGTTAACCAGCTTAGTTGGCGTGAGTGGTCGTGCACTCTTGTCCCTTAAGAGAGGTTAGGAGTTCAAACCTTGGTATCAGAGCTTAGAGCATACAAGTGAGTAATGAGCTTAGGTTGCTAATTTATTAGGCTCTGATACAAGTGTACAAGTGGGTATCAAGAGCTTAGGTTGCGACAATCATGATTATGCTCCGATACAATTGGTATTAGAGCTAGGGTATCAAGACTTAGGTTTCGAAATGATTATGCTTTGATACCAATGTTACAAGTAGGGTATCAGGACATACGTTGCGAAATCTTAGGTAGAAAAAATAAAATTAATTAGGCTCTGATATAATATATCAGAGCGGTACCAATCTTTTGGATATAAAAGCAAAGTTACAAAGTGGTCTTAAAGCCTAAGTTAGGAAGTTTGGTTATATAAAATGAAATTGGGTAGGAATTTAAAATTTTGAAAATCGGTGTTAGGATATGTGACATTGCATATTAGGTATAGTTGCATAATTATTGGTACTTTAAATGGTGTTCTGAAATTTGGGGAAATATTTGGCCTTGGTTGTTTTATTTAGACTTATTGCTTATTTATCTACTTGCTTATTCTTTTTATATGTGATTGTTGGGTTAGTTTGGCAATTCAAGAGAAAAAAGTGTTATTATTTCTTCAATACATACTAAAATATTAAACGATGAAAAGAAAAAACAAAAAGAATTTACCTGTAAGAATAATTAAATGGGATTATGTAAACATAAAGTTGTAAGAAAGAGGTATGGGAATTAAATAATAGAGTAGAGGATAAGGAGGTAAACCGACTTCGCCCGAAAAGGCCAGGTTAGCAGTTCTGTATGATCAAAGGAGCTTTGCCTCTCATCGGATTGTTCGTCGATAATAAAGTCTGGTTTCGTTAAAAAAAAAAAAAAAGAAAAAAAGGGTAAACCGAATTAAATATAGTTGTCTATCTTAAACCAAGAAGGCTAATAGATAGCTTTCTCAAGATAGTTGATATTTAATTTGAATCTTGTGGTTATAATTACGAAGTCAACTATTCGACTAACTTACTTAGTTGGAGTTGTCCATAGTAAGACAATTCTTAATTTAGGTGAATGCCACCCATGGAAAATATTTTGTGTTAGAAATTTTACCTGTATTATATAGACAATTTTATTGCAGGATATATGGAGTATATACAATTTTAAGAAAACCCCAAATTCTTTGGTAATAAGGTCAAGGCTAAGGCATAGATTTTAGTTTGTCCACAAACAGGAACATAATAATTCTTGAGGGTTTTTAAGGATTGCTAATTTTGTTGTGTGTATAAGTGTTGGTTGTGCAAGTCTTGAGTATGGATTGATGATTACTTTGAGAGTATTGGCTTGGCTTGTTGAACCCATGATGAAGATCCTTTCTATATTTATTTCATGTACTAATGAATAGGTCTTTCCAAGATCATAAAAGATTATTAAAAGATATTTATCTTGGTAAGGATGCTCACACTCCGCTGTCAAATACAAAATAACCTAGAAAACCTCATCCTCCACCCCCTTCCCCCATCCTCTTATTATTATTAGGAAAAACTGCAATTTTAGTCACTAAATTGTTTATAACTAGCGTTTTAGTTTATGTTTCTGTTTATAATTTATATGTATTTTTGTTAAGTTACGTTTGACATGAATATTTTGATAATAACATATAAAGTATTTATCAATTTAAATTAAATATTGATCAATCTACTTAAAGTAAATAGTCATATAGCCTAGCTGGTTCTCAATAGCTTAAGAGGAAAGCTACATGATTTTGGTAGAACTGTTGTATCTTTACCAAAACTGTCTAATTGGGGCAAGGTGTTGCAAATAGCAATTGATTGTTTACAAAGGAGCAGAAAAATGATATATAGCTTTATTGTTGTTATTTTACAGCTAGCCGAGATAATGACAGACGAAGCAACATTCACTTTGTGTAGCTAGGACACTATTATCTACCATAATAAATGTTTATTCAACATCTACTTTACATAAATATATGTAGCCAGTGCAATGAGTTCAACTTAACAATTTGCAAAACCTTTTGATAATTCTAGTATGTGGCACATTGAAAATTTCCTTTTCTAATCTTAGTGGTCAAAAATATATAAGAAAATATTTTATATTGTCCATGCATCCGTCATATTTCTCAATCATACAATAAGAACCGAAGCATGTAAAAAAAAAAATGTTCATTGTACCCAAAATCGAAAGATAAATAATAAATAAATAAATAAAAACAACACCAACAATAATAATAAATTAGTTCGTTGTATAGCTAGCCTTATAATAAAAATTCGCCATTCAAATAAAAATTTGTTCGACCTTCAAATAAATCATACTTTTGCAACTTCCCAACCAAAATACCTCCCAAACAATTACTATATAAAATCTGATAATTATTATTGTAAACAATAGCTCAATAAATGTGACAATTATTATTATTATTATTATTATTATTATTATTATTATTATTATTATTATTATTATTATTATATATTATAAAATCTAATAATTATTATGGTAAATAATAGCTCAATAGCAAGTTTGCAATTGACTTTTATTTCCTTTATATGTTTTAAAAAAAAAAATTATCCGTGCATTGCACATTGAGTAATTAGTTACTCGAATTCAAACAATGAACATCAAAATAATATAATGATAATTTAAACACTCATTAATTATTTGACTTAATTAATAATCTATAGGGATCTGCCCCAATGCTTCCATCATCCTACATTGCAAAAGTCTCTAAACCAAGTTTGGTAAGTATATATGTTTATTAGTTACATACATTCACTGTGATACGAATTAATTAAGTCTAAGTTGTTGAATTAACAATGCTTTTTCCCTCAATACATACTGCAAACCATTGCACGCAACACCACTGTTTGTTGTGATGTCAGCCTTTGTTCGAATCCAGGTTAGCTCGATCCATTGTTATATAGATACAAATTATAAAGTACATACTTATCAATTGACTTTATTTTAATATTAATTAATATTGACATTGTAGTCCTGTTTTAGACCAGGACTATGTGGTCTAATGGTACCCGGGTTGGACTTTCATTTGGAAGGTTGTAAGTTCGAGCCTCAGTGGAGGCGTTATTAGCTCTTTGTGTTTCAGTAGGTTGAGAAAGTATATGAACAGATACTACAATGTAATAGAGCTAGTAGCATTCAAAAAAAAAAAAAAAGATTCATCAATATGATTTGTCATTTGAGCATCTAGCTTGCCTAATGTACAAAAATTGCAGCTTGGTTGAGAATGAGATGACGGCAATTCAAGGTTAGTAGACTTAATATAATTAATGATATAACATATTAAGTAGGGAAGAAAAATAATGTAGAAAACATTATTTAATTAGACTAACCAACTAACAAAAAAAAATAGTCTTTAATTGTTTATTTATTTGATGCAGAATTAAGATTAGAAATACTTGATGCATTACCAATCACAAGTAGTCCTTCTCTCAAAGACATTTGGCTAACTAGTTGCATCACTCATGATGTCACTACGTTTTTATGGGTTGTTCCAAAGATGAAGCGCATTGTAGTCAACAAGGTAATATTAATATGTCAATTGCTTTTCATTAATTAATATCCCAAATCATAATTTTAATCACCAAAATGACCTATTATAATATATATTTATATTTATTTTGAATTGTTACATTATATTTTGCAGACTTACGCCCAAGTGTCAGCAATTCAAGTAATTGACTTGTCTATTTGATACGCTAGCGTATCGTTGTACCTTTCGAGCAAGTACGGCTCCTTAGTTACGAGCTTCGAGTGCACGTAAAACTCCAAAGACAAGAATTAAGAAAAACAATGCTTGAATTCTTCTTACTGCAATAAAACAAAGGTGCGTACAATATATAGAAAACTTATTGAATGTAAACAAATTAATCTTTCCTTTCTAGCATGATTCTTTCCTTTCAGTGATACCATCCAATCTTCTCAATCCTTTAATTATAGACATAATCATTTGTCATCCATCCAGCCTTTTTCTTCTCTCGATTTGTCCTCCTCAAATTAATGCTCTTTCCTTGTATAGTGGATCTTTCCTTGTCTGGTTCAGAAGGTTCACGAGTTTGTGTCATGGTAGTTGGCGTAACACTCCCGACCCCATCGGAAACCACCTTGTCCTCAAGGTGTTGGTTGCCAAAATACTTGGCAATGACTGCGGCAGGTTCCCACGTTGCATCAGCAGGACCACCATCGCTCCATTGTGTTAATATCTGCTCTTCCTGCCTTCCATTACGCAACACAGTTCGAGTATCTACCAAAGCCACAGGTTTGGAAACTGGTTTACCATCCCAGAATTCTGCTGGGAGAGGAATGACTGTTGGTAGAGGTGCGGATGTCCGGACCGAGCGTAGCAACGACACATGAAACACTGGGTGTATCTTTGATGTTTCTGGCAGCTTTAAACGATACGCTACAGCCCCAATCTTTTCAATAATTGGAAATGGCCCATAAAAACGGCATGCTAACTTTTGAGATGATCGTTTAGTCACTGAAAACGGTATGGTTGCAGTTTTAACAGGACTTCATCACCTATTTGAAAAGATACGTCTCTACGCTTGGAGTTTTCCCGTTGTGTCATCCTGTGTTGCGCATTTAACAGGTTGGCCTGGAGTTCTTTTATCAGTCCATCCCTTTCCACAAGCATTTCGTCAATCGTGGCAATTTTACTGGCATTTTCTGTGTAGCGTGGGATTGTGGGTGGTGGACGGCCATATAGTGCTTGAAAAGGAGTCATTTTGAGTCCCTCATGGTAGGTAGTATTTATACAATATTCAGCCCAACAAAAGAAATCGTACCAGCGCATCGGGCGAGCATGTGTAAAAGCTCGGAGGTATTGTTCTAAGCCTCGATTAACCACCTCCGTTTGCCCATCAGTTTGGGGGTGATATGCCGTGCTTCGTTTGAGTGTAGTTCCGCTAAGACGAAAAAGCTCTCTCCAAAAGGAGCTCATAAAAATCACGTCGCGGTCGGAAATGATTGAGTCTGGGAAACCATGCAATTTTACCACCATGGTTGTGAACAACACTGCAACTTTTGGCGCATCAAATCCTGTTGGCAATGGACCAAAATGAGAGACTTTTGACAACCGATCAACCACCACTAGTATGACAGTGAATCCTCGAGATGACGGTAGATGGGTGATAAAATCCATTGTAACTTGCTGCCACACCATATCTGGGACTGGTAATGGTTGGAGAAGGCCTGCAGGCGGTTGAGTGGAATATTTTGTGTGCTGACAGGTAACACAAGAAGCCACAAACTGCCTAACTTCGTTACGCATATTAAGCCAAAAGAAAGTTGTTAACAGTTTTGCCAACGTCCGTTTAACCCCTGGATGACCTGCTATTGGTGCCGTGTGGAATTCATGCAAAATACTATTCTTGAGGTTCGAATGTTGGCTAATAAAGTAACGATTGTTGTGGAAAACTATACCGTCATGAACCGTGAAAGGAGGCAATAGTGTACCAGCACGTGCTTTAGTGTGTAGAGCTCGAAGATCCTCCAAAGATGCATTTTCAGCTCTAATATCATCAATCAGGGACGGTAATGGTTGGCAAAAAACAGAGAACATGGTAGCTGCCCCATCATCCTCCCCGGATTCCACTCGTGACAAGGCATCCGCTGCTTTATTTGTGGTTCCTGGCTTATATTCAATGGTGAAGCGGAACCCCAATAACTTCCGAATATAAAATTGTTGATCTGGTATGTGTACTAATTGTTGCCACAACTCCTTGAGACTACGGTGGTCGGTTCGTATGATGAAAGAACGACCTATCAAATATTGACGCCATTTATGCACTGCCTCCACAATGGCATAGAGCTCGCGATGATAAGTTGAAGCCGCTTGTAATCGGGATCCTAACTTTTTGCTAAAAAAAGCTAAGGGTTGATTATCTTGCATGAGGACTGCACCCACCCCTGTGATTGAGGCATCAGTTTCCAGTACAAATGGCTTTTCAAAATCTGGCAATCTCAAAACAGGGGCCGTGGACATAGCATGCTTAAAGGCCAAAAAAGCCTTGTGTGCTTCCTCTGTCCATGTGAAAGCATCTTTCTTCAACAAATCAGTGAGGGGTGCAGCAATGTGAGCATAATGACGTATAAAACGCCGGTAATATCCCGTCAACCCAAGAAACCCACGTAATTGTTTAACAGTCTTTGGAGTTGGCCAATTGTTCATGGCAGCTACCTTTTCCTCATCTGCATCCCTTCACTAATAATGTGTCCCAAATAGTCTACGGAGGTCATGCAAAAAGAGCATTTTGTGAGTTTCACATAAAAAAATTCAGCTCCCAGAGTCTCGAGTATGATATGGAGGTGCTGCACATGAAGCTCCATGGATGAGCTGTAAACCAAAATGTCATCG